TGATCTCCATATTTACTTAAAGAAAATAGTGACCATTCGCTATTTTAGCAAAAAAAAAAAATCTTTCTGAAAGTTGCTGTCTAGATATTATGTTAAAGCTTTCAATATCAATTTATGTCAGAAAATAGCTTGTATGGCTAATACAAGTTCAAGCCACTGCCTTTAAAGGCAAATACTGCCTTTAAACAACTCACTTATGGAAAACACCATGGGACACGAACGTAACAAAACTCCAACCAAGCAACACTATTATATGTGATTGTCCTTGGTTGTACTAAAAAGTTAAGCTAAAATTGATTTTATTTTGGTAAAAAATAAAATGTGCCTTTTAGCAACTACTGCTAATTTTTTTGGCTAAGGGTTAGCACAGTAAAAGATTGGGTCCACATTTTATGATTCCAAAAGATATCATTCATTTCATAAAACATAATGAACATGAAACTGACTTCAAAACCAATTATATGTACACTGTACATTTTTATATCATTTGAGGAAAGTCTTTGAAATCATATACAAACACAATTCATCGGAACGTTTGCCACTTGGGGAGACTTGAATTGTCAGTAACTAATTTGTTCTCCTTGTTATTATTTGTTTGTATGTTACTGTGGAGTGGGTCAAGCGCTTGAGCTCCAACTGCTCGCATTTGAGTCATCATATGCCTTATATCATAGACTGTTGGGTTATTGTTATCTCCAGCTCTATGGCGGTAGTGTCCAAATTGCTGCTGTAATTGGTCCTGATTAAAACAATGTGTTAAAACAAATCTGCACCCTTGAAACATGAAAGTCACACAATCGACAATTGAATAGACACTTGTCTTCAAACCGTGAGTGATTGATAGCTTAGCATCATACCATTTCTATCAGATGTTGAAAAATCTCCTGGTCTCTGTCGCACGGACTGTTCCCAATCATCAAAGTATTTTAAGAAAATTTCCAGCGTAACCTTTCATCTTGTATAGATGTGTATGGATCTAGGTCAGGATTTTTAGAGTACCTTCCCTCATGCAAACTTCTGATATTCAAACAGTAAAGGAAACGATTCATCATGCTAATAAAATTAACACTCTCTGACACGTTATCACCATACATCATCTCCAGAACATTGCTGACTGACGAACTCAACACTTGTGCTGCGAGATTTACTTTCATACGTGAAAAGGCAGTCATATCCAAATGTGCTCTGGTCAGCTTGGGACATGGACAGTACAAAGGTTTTTCACAGTGTTCTTCAAATAATTTTAGTATATGGAGCCATGAAATGTCCTTCCCATCTTTCCACAACTTTCATGTGTTGCTGTGCGAATTTGAATTACTAAAACAGTTCCTTGTTATTTTAATAAGATGTGGCACATCGGATATAAAGTAGAGTTTTTTGTCATCATAGGCATACGGGTTACTTGTACAATATACAAAATATTCTACTGGCCCATGTAATTTTATAAATCTCCTATTAGCAAGAGCTCCACCGCAAGTCACAAATAGCACTTTCAGGTTTGTAGCACTGGTCTCCAGTGATACTGGATGTTGAAAATCCTGCTAAAGGAAACTTTAGGTCACAAGCAATTCCTCTTACCATCACAACCAGCATAAATTTTGCAATGTCTAATGATGATGATGTAGCACTTCTAAGATTTCTCTCTGCTTCTGCCATCTGATTGCCAACTTTATAAAGGTTACAAAATCCAATCAATTCACCTGTGTGTTTGTCATGCAGGAGCTCAGACTTTACTTTTATCTCGTCAAACAATATACCTAGAAGTCTTTTCCATGTCTGACTGTCACTATGCATTCCTTTCTTTACAACTTCTCCCCCTAGCACTTTTAACACATCCAGCTGAAAACAATTAGAACTTTTAGGATAATGTGGGTAGTCAAATAATGTTCTGGTACTAAGCAGGGTAATAAAACCAGAGTTACGTAATGTTTCATAGACAGCAGTTGACTTCTGTCTTAAATATAAACATAAGCGTTTAATCATAGGGTGCCTTCTCATCCCTATGCTGGAAGTCATATTTAAACTTTTAAACTGTTCTGTCCAAAATAATCTTTGAAAACAGTTGGCATCTGGAAAGGCCTTCTCCATTTCTGCTGTACATGTTGCCATGGCATCTTTCATTTCCAAGCACTGATTAAAGTCTAAATTTACTCCTGAAGACCCAAGTTCTTTTTCAAACTGGCGCTGTTTAGTTCTTTCTGAAGACTACAAATTTTTTGCTTTTGTTGGCAGATCTTCCCAATTAGTTCATCGTTTAACATAAAACAATGTTTGAAATTGTTAGTAGCATAATTTGGTTGTGCATCACCCTCACTTTTCCTTCTTTTGGCCTCCTGTCTTAGTTTCCTGTTATATAGTATCCTTCTTAAATAGAAACAAAAGCTACATCTTGCACCATTGATTAAAAGTTCACACTCTTCGTAAGACGCCGAGTAACAATGGTGACTTCCGTCAAGAGTTTGAAGATTTCCTCTGTTTTCTTTTGAAAGGAACATTCCATCTCTGGCGCTTTGGCATCCTGCAAAAAACAAATACATTTAGCATTTAATAATTTGAAAGAAATTTAACTGAATGAACTCATTCAATTAATTGATGTCTTTGAAATAATGAGAGACATGTTAGAGATCTAAATCTCCAGCAGGACGCAGTTTTACTTTTTAGAAATGAAAATACTGAGTGTTAATCCAAATGTGGTAACTGATGAAATTCAATCAACTGCAGCACTGCTTTATTAATTGTTTGTACATGTTGTAAGTGAAATATATGGGTGTAACTGTACGACACAAAGATGTACGTGTTGGTTGATTGATTTTATTCCATGTAAACGTGAAGACTGAAACATACAAAATACAACATTGTTACATTATGAAATTACAGAAAATATGACAAGAAATAGACACTGAACTGAGACTGTACATAGAATTTAACTACATATGTAATGACATACATTATTACAGTTGTTTGTTGATATCTGTTACTATATGACTAGTATAAATACTTGAAAACTTCTGAACAGACCGAAAATATTCCAAAAAATACTGGAAATTACAAGTAAGGCCGTCCTCTGCAACTATTAAAGAAGGAAACTTGAAGTTACAACGACTTACAGAGGTGACAATGTACAGGAGTTCTAGTTTATACAGTCCAAGGGAGATAACTCGAATTGTAAAATGAGACATAGGACGGAATCTATATATAACAATACATAAACTATCATGGGTATCTTAACTCTTATTTCTGAGCTTAATTATTACACAGATACTTATAAAGCTAAGCAAAACATTGAAATAATTCTATTTTATAGAATTAATTAATAAAATTGCAAACTCATAACCAAAAAATACGGACCAAATTATCACACTACTCTTGGGTGGGACGAAATGGCCAACTCGGACAACCATGTGCTTTTCACTGACTCGATTCGTATAATACAAATTTCAGTATAGATACCTAGCGTAACCTGACAATCTAAATAGCTACATGAAATGCCTTATTTTGGCAATGTCTGGACACTTACAATTATGGCTCTTCCACAATTTATGACATTTTTTTGTAGGCGGCAAACGATGGAACGCCGTCATGGCGGTTCATTAGTAGCGAAAAGAAAGATTTCTATCCAGGGGAGATAATTCCCCAATAAAAGGGAGATAACTACTCCTGCAACAAAAATTCTAAAAAGATGTAACGGAACACTCCCCGTCTGGCATCTTAAGACGCCACTATTATACTAATTTTACATTGACAAAGTTAGCATCAACAAACTCTCCAAAATCTATAATACATCGAAGGTAATACCAGTTTCTGCTGAATTAAGACAATATCAACACACTATATATATATCTACTACAATTCAAATCAAAATGACATATTTGTAATCATCCACTTTGTCCTCAGAGAACAGAACACACGACAAAATCTAATTATGTAGAACTGTCAAAGAATACAGTTATCAATAGGAGAATTAAACGTTAGTTCAACATGCTTAATGTGGTATCTACATCAATAGCACAAGTTCTGTAGCAGGTCTTGTATACACCTTGCTCTCTTTCTGTCCTTTTACGAACAACTTCACAGCAACCTTTCTCACGTGTCCATCCTTGCTTGGAAATGTATTGACTACTCTACCCATTGGCCAATTGTTCCTGGGACACTCGTCGTCTTTAACAAGTACAATATCATCAACACCAAGATCTTTCTGCGGATACTGCCACTTGCGTCTGCTTTGAAGCGTTTGAAGGTATTCAGACCTCCATCGTTTCCAGAAAATGTTAGATAAAGCTTGCACGTGACGCCAATCTGCTTTGTACATTTTGCTCACATCCACATCAGAAACAAACTCCGTGTCATCCACAGATTTCTGAGTCAACAACATAGACGGGCTAAGAACTGCTGGGTTCTCCGGATCCGTGGACACAGGTACGAGTGGCCGCGAGTTTATTATGGCTGTGACCTCTGCCATAAAGGTCACTAGAACGTCGTGGGTAAGGTCCTTCCCAGAATGTTCCAACATCATTGAATCAAGAACACGTCGCACCACCCCTATCATACGTTCCCACACTCCCCCCCCCCATATGGGAAGAGTGAGGGGAATTGAATCTCCAAATAACTCCTTTGTTGAATAGGAACTGTTTAAGGCCATTGTCCTCGACATTAATAGCATCTATCTTCATGAGGTCTGTTGCTCCAATGAAATTTGTCCCTCGATCTGATCTAAACTCCGATACTTTGCCCCGAATGGCTATAAATCGTCTGGTTGCGTTAATAAATGCTGACGTGCTCAGTTGTTCAATTACCTCCACATGAACAGCTCGTGTGGTTAGGCAGGTGTATAATACAGCCCAACGTTTGTTGTTAGCTATTCCTCCTCGAGTACGTCTCGTGACAACCTGCCATGGTCCGAAAACATCCAAGCCAACATTCGTAAATGGAGGAGTTGGCGTCAATCTTTCTAGAGGTAAGTCAGACATTTTTTGAAATTGTGTGCGAGCCCACAGCTTTCTTCATATCACGCATCTATAGATCAACGATGATATGAGGCGTTTAACACCGGTTATCCAGATTCCTGCAGAGCGTACAGCACCATCCGTGAAGTGACGTCCCATATGTTTCACCTTTTCATGATAATGACGGACCAGCAGTGTTGATATGTGGTGATTTCCTGGAAGAATAAGAGGGTTCTTTTCTTTCAGATCTGCATTCATCTGCTTGATTCTTCCGCCTAAGCGCAGCATTCCCTTGTCGTCTAAGTAGGGATCTAAAGAGCTGATGGCACTACTCACAGGAACATGACCCCTTCTCTTCAAACAAAGAATCTCTGTTTTATAGACCTCATTTTGGACACATTGAATTATGAAATTATCACTCTTCTTGTAGGTTGATTCAGTTGCAATCCGGCATCTGAGTCTGTTTATTGCTCCAATAAGCCTTGACCAAGAGGAAAACTTCTCAAACCTTTTAGTACCAAGTTCATTTGGAGATGAAATGTGTGTTTTCATACATTGTGCAGAGTCTATCGAACTTCCTTGTCTTGATCAGGAGCTTGTAAATCAAATACTTGCTCTTCACCACCTGGTGGGTTTTCGGATCGGAGAAATTCCGGTCCTTTTAGCCATGTGCTCTCGTCTAATCTAGTAGATGATATAGGCCGAGTACCCTGATCTGCAGGATTGTTCTCCGAAGCCACATAGTGCCACTGATGACGCTCAGTACTCTTTAGTATACGCGACACACGGTTTTCAACATAAACAAAGAAACGTCGAACTTTGTTGTTCAGGTAGCCTAATACTACACGACTGTCTGAATAAAACTTCATTTTGCTAAGTGGGAAATCCAGATGACGTGACACGATTTCTCCTATCTCGACAGCTAGTACTGCTGCGCAAAGTTCCAATCTAGGTATTGTGTGGCCGCTTTTTGGGGCCACTTTGGATTTCCCAAGCACGAATCCTACATCTACAGAGCTGTCCGCATTAGTCCTCTTCAAGTAGGCCACAGCAGAAATGACCTTCTCAGAAGCGTCGCCAAATATGTGAATTTCCTTTGTTCCAGCATCATCAAAGGGTGAGGGGAAATAGGTCCTTGGGACACTTCTAGGATCTAAATGTTTGAGGGACTCTCTCCATTCCATCCAAACTTGTAAGCTTTCTTCTGACAGTGGAAGATCCCAATCCACAGTTTCTGCTATGAAATCGCGAATGAGAATCCTTCCCTGAACAATGATAGGCGAGATAAATCCGAGAGGGTCATAGAGGGAGTTGATGACAGATAGCATACCTCTCCGGGTAAATGTTTTGTCGTCATCGGATACATTGAATGTGAAACGGTCTGTGTTTAAATTCCACATCAACCCCAAACTTCTCTGTGGTGGTAAATGTTCTGAGCCAATATCCACAACCTTCAGATCAGCAGCTAGATCCTCTTTGGGGAAGGCCTTCATCACACCACTATCATTTGAAGCAATTTTGTGAAGCCGCAGTTTGCCTCCCAACCTTAACGCTTCCCGTGTTCTCTGTAAGAGATCAATTGCTTGTGTGGAGTCTGCAAATGACACCAAACCATCATCGACGTAAAAGTTTTTCTCCATGAAATCCTTCATATCTGAGCCAAACGTGCTTTCTTGATCGGCTGCAGATTTCCGAAGGCCGTAAGTCGCGATCGCTGGCGATGGTGAATTGCCGAAAACATGCACGCACATGTTATACTCGACTAGTTCCAAATTTAGGTCATTGTCCTTAAACCAAAAGAATCTCAGGAAATTCCTATCCTTTTCTTCGACATGAAACTGGAAGAACATTTGCTGGATGTCTGCAGTGATTGCGATTGGCTCTTTTCTGAATCTTAGCAAAATACCCAAAAATTATTAGTCATATCTGGTCCTTGGAGGAGAACTGAATTTAGAGAGACACCCTGGTAAGTTGCAGAGGAATCGAAAACGACTCTGATTTGTCCCTTTTTCTTATGGTAGACACCAAATATTGGTAAAAACCATGACTCTTGATTCGGCTCTAGTGAAGGTGCCAGTTCAGCATATCCGTTGTCAAGAATTTTCGCCATGAATTCAATGAAATGTTCCCCTTTTGCCGGGTTTTTTCTAAGTCCATTTTGTAGGTTCGTTGCACGTTTCAGGGCATAGTTCCTGTTGTTTGGTAACCGTTGCGTCGGAGTGCGGAAAGGAAGAGGGGCTGTCCAATTTCCATCGGAGGATTTGATGAACTCTTTATTCATTATTTTCAGGAATTCCTTGTCTTCAGCCGAAAGACCAACCTCATTGTCATTTGCGGTGCAGCGAAAAATATCTGCATCCTGGGAAGTCTCCTTCAAATGAAACTGATAATCACAAGGTGGGAATATTGATCCCCTAGCCCCTTTGTGTACGTAAGTTTTCATACAATTGATTTTGTGAGGCGCGTGTGCCTTCCCTAAGCAAGCCTCGCCCACGATCACCCAACCTAAGCTAAGTCTCTGTGCATAAGGCGAGCCACGGGGGCCTATTCTTTGATCTTGCACGTGGTGAGCTTCAATCAAATCTCGACCAATCAATAATAGAATAGGAATGGTGTTGTCTGCCTCAGGAATGTTTTCTGCAATGTCTTGGAGATGCTTGTATCTCCTTGCAATATCTGGTGTTGGAATTTCGTCTCTTACGTCTGGAATTTGTTCGCATTCTGTAAGAGGAGGTAACTCAATAGCGGTTTTACCATCAATACTCCTGATAAGGAATCCATATGCTCGCCGTCCAAGTGTGTCAACTACTCCCCCGCACGACGACAATGAATAGTTTACTTCCGGAAAGTCTCCCTCAAATTTATCAAAGAAATCCGGGCTAACTAATGACCGATTACTCTGATCGTCAATGATTGCATATGTTGTCAATGTTTCTCTTGGTTTATCCTTTGGGTGTATAATGACTTGTACTATTTTCGCACAAGATTTTCCAAGCGAGTCTCCACATACCTGAGCACAAGCTGTGTTAACAGATAGTTTCCGTTGTGTATGATGATCTTTGCTGTTGGAGTTGCGCAGCTCCCCGCCGTCGATGTGCAGGGCTGTAAGATGTGGTTTTTTACAAACATCGCAGCAGACTTCCTGGTTACATGCCTCCGCTTTATGGTTAGAACTGCAGCACTTGAAACATAAACCTTTGTCCTTAATAAACTTCTTCCTGACTGTCAGAGGTTTGCTACGAAATGATCGACAAGTACTTAGACTGTGTCCTTGTGCGTTATGAAGATGACAGTATTCTATCTTACTACCACACTTACTTTGGCTTGCCGTTTCTTCCATCGTCATGACATCCGTTTTCATCGCTGATACATTTGGCTTTCCTTTCTTATGAAACTGAGGAGCATTTGTTTGCGAATCATAAACGAAACCTGGATCATTCTTAACTTTGCTCATTTCTCGGACAAATTCCGTAAAACATGAAAATGGCGGAAATGACACACCATGTTCTCTTTTGAATCTTGCAGCTCGCATGGTCCATTTCTCCTGGATATTGTATGGCAACTTGTTCACTATAGGTATGACACCCAAGGATGTGTTGAAGTATGACAACATATCTCGATACTATGGATCTTCCATATTGCTCTCTATTTCATCAAGTATATCAGATAACTCGTAAAGTCTTTTTGAGTCTCGGTTGCCAAGTTTCGGGAATTTCTCCAATTTCTGCTTGAGGGCTGATTCCACCATCTCTGGTAACCCAAAGCGTTCATCCAGGCGTTCCCACAACCGGTTTACTCCACTGACTGGGTTTGAAGAACTTGCTGCTCTAATGCTCGAAGCATGCTTAATGGATTCAGGGCCTAACCACTTTACTAGCAAGTCTAGTTCCTCTCTGGGTCCTAAGTTGAGCTCAGTAATCACGCTGATGAATGTTGATTTCCACACCGAGTAGTTCTCTGGCTTATCATCAAACTTGGTTAGTCTTGAAAAGAGCAGGTCTTTCCTCAGGAGGAACTTTGAGAGTTCTGAGGCAGTGTTGTCATTATTCAACTTGGAGGGGACTACATAATCATACACTGGCCCAATGGGCCTGTTATTAATATTATTACCGTTATCTTTATTAGGTAATGAATTGACGTAGGCCTTTTTTCTTTGCCAAGGTCCTCCTGTTGGTTAATGACTTTACTTTGATCCTGAAGTGGCATATTATATACAGAATCATTATCAATCTCCTGTGACCTCTCACTTCCATGCCATTCATCCACCGACTGAAATATTTCTGATTCGGCGTTTGCCTCTGCGTATCTTTTCCTTTCCTGTAAGACATAGAGGTCAGCTTCTACCTCTAGTATCTCCCGTTCTGATTTAGCTGCACTCAAACGTTCTTCTTCTCTCAAGGCGGCCCTCCTTCTCATTAAACTAGCTTCATTTTCGGCGTAATCTGCTCTAACCCTTGCTGCTTCAGCTCGAGCCTTTGCCCTGAGAGCTGCTGGACTGCCCGTACTACTATTAGATCTGTAACTTCCTCCTCCATTTGAAGCCGATATATAATGACCTCCATTGGGAGCTGACCTCATTGAGCGATGACTTCCTCCTCCATTTGGAGCTGACCTAATTGAATGATGACTTCCTCCTCCATTTGGAGCTGACCTAATTGAATGATGACTTCCTCCTTCATTTGAAGCTGACCTAGTTGAATGATGACTTCCTTCTTGATTTGGAGCTACCGCCTCCCTTGATCGATTACTTCCCTTTTCTGACATCATCAAGATTATATAAGTGGACTCGATACGTGTTGAAGAGTCGAAGTCAAGACTGTAGAAAGCCGAATTTCTTCACTGTAACTGTACGACACAAAGATGTACGTGTTGGTTGATTGATTTTATTCCATGTAAACGTGAAGACTGAAACATACAAAATACAACATTGTTACATTATGAAATTACAGAAAATATGACAAGAAATAGACATTGAACTGAGACTGTACATAGAATTTAACTACATATGTAATGACATACATTATTACAGTTGTTTGTTGATATCTGTTACTATATGACTAGTATAAATACTTGAAAACTTCTGAACAGACCGAAAATATTCCAAAAAATACTGGAAATTACAAGTAAGGCCGACCTCTGCAACTATTAAAGAAGGAAACTTGAAGTTACAACGACTTACAGAGGTGACAATGTACAGGAGTTCTAGTTTATACAGTCCAAGGGAGATAACTCGAATTGTAAAATGAGACATAGGACGGAATCTATATATAACAATACATAAACTATCATGGGTATCTTAACTCTTATTTCTGAGCTTAATTATTACACAGATACTTGTGTAAGCAAAACATTGAAATGATTCTATTTTATAGAATTAATTAATAAAATTGCAAACTCATAACCAAAAAATACGGACCAAATTATCACACTACTCTTGGGTGGGACGAAATGGCCAACTCGGACAACCATGTGCTTTTCACGGACTCGATTCGTATAATACAAATATCAGTATAGATACCTAGCGTAACCTGACAATCTGAATAGCTACATGAAATGCCTTATTTTGGCAATGTCTGGACACTTACAATTATGGCTCTTCCACAATTTATGACATTTTTTTGTAGGCGGCAAACGATGGAACGCCGTCAGGGCGGTTCATTAGTAGCGAAAAGAAAGATTTCTATCCAGGGGAGATAATTCCCCAATAAAAGGGAGATAACTACTCCTGCAACAAAAATTCTAAAAAGATGTAACGGAACAATGGGAGTTATAAGGTGAAAAGGGTATTAGTAGTAAATACTGATATAATTTATATGTCAAGAATGACATCCTCGAAGTTATTTTTAAATCATCTCCCAAATTTCTTAACAGACAGGTTTGAGATTGATCATTATATCTAGTAATGGGGCATTGGGTTCAAAATATGGGTCAAGGTAAAATTGCTGAATAAAAAAGTACCAGCTTAATCACCATAATGTTTCCTTTATGCAGACAATACTATGTAGTTAACAAGATTATCTAAGGATTTTGGTGAAATATTGTGTTTTTTGAGTTTTCAGAACAACAAGTACTTACTCTGCACTTGGCCAGATTGGCCATTTTTATCTAATAATGGAGCATAGAGTTCAAAATGTGGGTCAAGTTAAAATTGCTGAATAAAAACAAGTAACACCTTAATCACCATAATGTTTCCTCTATGCAGACAATATCATGTAATTAATAAGATTATCTACGAATTTTGGTGAAATATTGTGTTTTCTTTGAGTCTTTAGAACAACCAGCACTACCTGTGTACTTGGTCAGATAGGCCATTTAATACACACAACGTAAACAAGCTTAACCGCGTTGATAAATGTTAAGGACATACGTTTAGTATATATTAATGCAGGCCATCCTTTCTCTTATATACTTATTACAAATTAGACAATTGTAAAACAGATTAATCGAATGTTTTTGCGGAGTATTTAGATCCTAAATAAGGTGGTATTCAAAGCTGAAATGAACGCTATTATCAGCCAAGGAAAGCAGCTGGTCTCTTGATAAAATACAGCCTTTTAGCTGTTATGAAATTGATTATCGGAAACATCGTGCTAATATTATAACAGTATCAATTTGTTTTGTCTTTATAAATCCTGCTTTTAGTTTTAATTGACTTAATTGCAGTTAATTACTCACCTGAAATCTTTGTTTTGTTTTTGATAAACAACGCTTCGTTGATCTCGTTTCTTCTCGCTGTAGTCTCGCGCCTCGCGATATCTCGCGATAATTTCTATGCGTATTACAGCAGTTACCTATCCATACGTCCCTGGTCTTACTATTTTTTTCCCTGCAAAATACATTTCCGATTTGTTAGAAACTCCAACTTCTGTTTTTTGAGACATCCGTTTAATCTCACTTGATACATTTATAAATAGCGTACCTGAGCTAAACCCATATAATTTCCTATATTTATTGAATGTACATATATATATCACAGCAACATAATTAGGACGAGCCGCCTGGTATTTTCTCAATCTTCATCATCCATCATGACGAAACATCTGTGTTCTTGTAAGTACGGTTACGGAAACCTCACTATTGCCTACTACATGAAACTGATATCACATATTGCATATCTTATTTTTTATGTGTTTATTTCGTTTTGTTTCCCTAAATATTAATCATCTTTTTTTTTTTTTTTTGGAGATGTTTAAATATTTCATCACCATCATCATATAAAGATAGTCTGATAAAAAAAACCCAGCTGTATCCGATAATTGCCTTTTGATTACATTTTATATTTTTGCATATTACACATGTGTAATAATGTCTATTATGACATCAGAGATTTAGAGGATGAAATAAGACTCACAGATGATATTATAGCGTAATTATTAAGAAACCTATACATTTGGAGCCAAGATGACTTAACGTTTGTCATGGAAAATTTCGTTTTCAAACATATCTACATGAACTTTCAATGATATAATAAACAGGCTTTTGATTTCGTGTCTACTTTTTTATGCAATCTATGAAACGCCTTAAAATTTCTTTTTCATTTCGGTTCGACGAAGGCTCGATAGAATTTCATTCTTCATATCATTCTTCCACCTGTTTCATATATCAAATCAAAACAGTAGGATCCTATACATAGTGTATGTATATCACTCCATTTTACATCATACATTTACAAATGTCAACAAATACACTACTTTTATGCACAAGATTGAAGAAGGTCACGTCAACACCAGAAAATTTGCGGTAACGCAGATTGAGAAATGGCAGGTCGATTGAATTACTGAGAGGAACCTTGGGTAATTATATATATTTCTTGAGAAATAGAATTTCGAAATACGCTTCGATAATATAAACAACTACTTATTGTATTTCATGAATAGCTACTTCCAGTCTCATTAAATAATTGAGTTTGACGTTATGAAAGTTTGGCACATTATCACTCTTTGGCAAATGAATAAGCATTAGTAAATTTATATAAACAACAAACTATTCAAAAACCAATTAGCATTTAAGACGAGATATTTCTTGGTTATCACTAAACCTACGTTGACGGGAGTTACATGCAGATATAAATTATCAAATTTAGAGGCTGGTACCTGAGACTCGCTTCCTGCTCGGTAATAACAAAACGACTTTTCAAGAAAGCGATTCACAAAATTATGATCAGCATATTCGTTTATTAGCTCAGTTCCCATTATTGGTTTTGAATGTTGATATTTTTCATGCTGAACATGTTCAAGGTGTTATGAAAAGCTTATATATTTTGCGATGGGCCTTTTTTTCTATAAAACTCATTTCTTGCAATCTATTTTCGCGATTGTAGTCACCTCTTGAACGAACGCAGCGAAAACTTATTATCCTTTTTATGATGTATCAGTAATATTTGATATTGTTTTCAATCAAATATGATTATCTTTGTATATTTTTCCTTTTAGCAAAACCTACATAACACCACCGGAATTTATAGTCTTATAGAGTTTTGTAAGAAAAAAAATTGTACATTGTAAAAATAAAATCATTAATAAAAATCATACCAATAGATTTTATAACAAAAATCAATTATTCATCGAAAGAGATGTAAATGTAACTAACGATTGTAAACTAGTTGAAGAATGA